CACACACACACACACACACACACACACACACACAAACACAAACATACACACAAATACATCTGATGAAAACTTGCACATTCTCCTACAGGATTCATAAAGAAAAGTTGGTGAAATTCTGATGTTATAAAGTGAAAATGTTTGTGACCTTAAATAGCCATTCAGTTTGAGTCTCCTGTTAGTAACAGTTAAGAAAGCATCAAGACTGACCTTCGACTTTCAGCTTGGCAGATGTTTTGGAGGTGGCCACCTTGTAGGTGTATTCTCCCACATCGTCTAACTTGGCAGCAGCAATGACAAGTCTCCTTTTGTGGCCATCAGATTCACTTCTGAAGTTGTTGCTCAGAGTCAAGGGTTTTCCATCCTTGAGCCACTCACCCTCAGACTCAGGGTTGGCAACTTCACACTCAAACACAGCTTCCTGGGATTCGGCTACCGTCTGGTCTGTGAGTGGCTTGGAGATGGCGCCCCCTTCAGAACAAGAGTAGGATACACATGAGTCCTTTAAAATATCCACAGACTGAAGAAACCATTGCACAATTAAACATCAAATATCAAAATTTAAAAACATGGTTTTAAACATAAAAAGGTTGCTGTTACCTCAGTGCCACAGAAATCCCTTATTCTAAGTATGCATGACTAAAAATCAGAAAATACATTGTGCAAAGGGGAAAAACAGTTTAATAAAGAATTCTGAAATCTATAACACATAGATAGCTTTCAACACAATTCCTTCTTTTAGAAAGCATGCTATTTGGTCCTGTAGGAATTATTTTTTTAGTATATGTTTTATATTCAGGAACAATTTGCTAAACAAAATGTCAAAGTCAATAATTTACTTATTGTTCACTTATTTGGTACATTGCCTTACACTGTGACACAGTTTGGCCCCCACACTCATGGGAATCTTTCTGTTTCATCCTTCCAAGTGCTGGAATCATAGGCATTAAGCTATCATGTTCAGCTTTCACTGGTATTCTTAAAAGACACATTAAATGTGTTACTTATATACCACAACTCCCTGAGTTGAAATGTCATCTCTTCTCCAATGTTTCCTACTGTTGCTTCACCCCATTGTCACTGGAAGCAAAAGTAACTGCTTTCACTACTTAGCTACTTAGGCACCTGTTTTCCTCTAAATTCAAGGACAGATACACACACCCACTTTACTTTTAGGTTTTGATTTTCTAGTAATCTCTTGCCTATGGCAGGTACTTTTCAAATGCCAAGAAAATCACATAAGGGCTTAAAGCCTTTTGTTTCATATACTTAAAATGATATTTAAAATAATCTTGTGAATTTAAAGGACCTGAGATTTTATTTTATAGGTCTTTTATGGCCAAGTCACTAAGGAAATAAGTCATAAAGTATATATCGTGAGACCTACACATCAACTAGGACACACTTTTACTATCTGACTTGCTTATGGACCACAAGAGTCAAATCTGAGCAGAACATCCCAATCCCTCAATGCTCAAACTGTAATGGACCAAAACTGTTAATGATGACTTCTACTTCTGTGTGGACAAGTGGACTATAATTACTATTCTTCAATCTAAAGCTAAGGATTTCTGCTAAATGGGAAAGGTTGTGTTTCCCCTTCAGGTCACCAAATACACAGATGAATTAAGTTGTATTTATAATAGAAAATAATCATTGGGCCCACAAAAATGAAGTAAGAGGAAAAGGCTTAAAGGATAAAGAATGTTTTAAAAATAAATCTTTATTGAGGCAAGGTTAAAGTGAAGCTCAGTTTAGCAAACATTTTTCATCATCTATCCTGAGGAGTACCAGAGAAGAGAGAGATGCAATCAATTCTATGTGCATGGGCCATATGATCTGGTGTGGGGAAAGGAAACAAGGAATAAGCCACATGTATAATAAAGACCATGAAAGAGTCAAGGACAAAGGCATCCAGGATTGGCGAAAGAAGTGGAGAGGTTAAAGAAAGCTTTGTGGAGGAGCAGGCACCTGAGCGTGATAAACAGATGGCATCTGAAGTAGGCCTAGGTGAGCACTCACAATTTAGGCTGGTAGCATCAGAATGGGGTATTATTAGCCTTGAGATCAGTGAGATAAGACACATGGTAGTGGGAAGCAGATGAGGATTGGAGGGAGAATGGGAAACAATGCCTTTATAATTACACTAGTTGCTCCTCAGAAGAACTTTGATTGAATGATCAATATACAAACCTGCCACGGTAAGCTTTCCAGATGTTGTATTTTCTCCAGCATAAAATGCATATTCTCCTTCATCATCTTTCATCATATTCATGACTGTCAGTTTGTATATCTTGCCATGAGCTTCAATTTTATATTTAGAACTGGGCTTAATTTCCTTGCCCTTAAAATTCCATAAGACATCAATTCCTGAGTGGGACAGCTCAACCTCGAAGACCACATTTTGAGTTTCTGTGCACGTCAGGTCATGGAGACCTCTGATGATTTTAATTTCTAGGGAAATAGAAAATATTCAGTGGTCATTTTTACAGTGAGAATGCAAAATGCTTAAAGTAATGACTAGTGATGTGGGTCCATCCTTACTCTCTACAGAGAGGTTACAGCTGGTTTCCACTCTGCCAACCATCAGCTTGTAAGGTCCTTCATCAGATGCATGAGTTCGGTTAATCACAAGTCTCTGTTTGGTGCCTTTGACAATGGATTGCACACGGTCATCAGGCTTGATTTGTTCATCATTGAGGTACCATTTAATAGAAGTTACATCAGGGACTGAGACCTTGCATTCAAGTACAGCCTTGGTGCCTTCAATCACATTGACATCTTTTAGTGGTGTTATCACATCAACACCTGCAAAGGAAGACAAGCAAAGAATTGTATCAATGTGAGTTTTGTTTAAAATGTCTGCACAGTCAAGCTTTTTAGCTCAATGTCAATGGGAACATAAAACTAGATATGGGGTCGTAGCTCAGCATAGAGACCTGCTTTGTATGTGCAACACCACAGGTGTGATCCCCAGCATAACAATATTTTAAAGGAGAAAAATTAGCATAAAACTATGTAAGACTCACTATAGACAGAGACATGCCCACTGGTAGAGAGTCCGAGGGCAGGAATAGTGAAGGAGTAATTCCCAGCATCCTCTTTGGTCATGTCTTCAATAAGCAGCATGTGGGACTGTTTGTCTATCACAATGTGAACCCTGTCATTGTGCTGCACTTCCTGGCCATCTTTCATCCAGATGCCTTCCACATTTTCTAGGGAGACTTTGACTTCAAGCTGAACAATGTCACCCTCACAGACCTTTTGATCACTAAGTCCTTGGAGAATCGCAATAGGTCGGGCTGTGAAAGATGGGGAAAAAAGAATGTCATGGTTTTATCATTAGCTCTACTACCGCACACTGCAGTGTTAGGGATGGGAAGACTCACGTTTTATCTTCAGTTTACAGGCTGTCTTCTTCCCATCGACAACAAAGCTGTACTCTCCCTGGTCCTCTTTGGTTACATCCTTGACTGTGAGGTTTTGGCGCCCACGGCGGGATGTAATTGAGTATTTGCCATTGGACTTTAGCTCCACATCATTGTGATACCATTTGCCTTCTATGTTTTCAGGGGATATAATACACTCCAACTCTCCTGAGTATGATTCTGGGACTTCTATGTCCTGAAGTTCTTTCAGGAACTCAACAACTGCACCTGAAGAATAAGATGAAGGTGAATTAATGTCTTGGGAGAGTTTTGGAACCAGAGTATAGATAGATATGCCGCCTTATGTATCTATTATCTCCTTCCTCAATTTTCAAGAATGGTCTTCCTGCTAGTGGGCTGAGAAATGTTTACGACAAATCAATTGTTTTAATTTTTGAATTGTTTTGGATTAAAGCAGGCAATAAAATAATACTGCTTAAAAAATCCAAATTGACAATATTTCTAATTAACAATATTAATTGATGACCCTTGATATAAAGTTTGCATCTAATTCACTAAAATTATTTTATGAAAGGAGAAATGTATAGCTCATTTTATCACAGAATAAAAATTGACTTCAGTATACAACATAGCCATTATTTCTTTTACCTTCCACAATAAGTTTCGCTGTTGTTTTGATATTTTCATCTTCCACAAGTACACAGCTGTAGTCTTCGGCATCAGATGTGTCGATGGTCAGCACAGACAGGAAGTGAACCTTTCGATCAGAGTGCATCCTATACTTATCTCCTGCATGAATTTCGATACCATCTTTGTACCATTTTACTTTGACAAATGGTTCTGAAGTTTCACATTCAAATGTTGCCATGGTGTCCTTTTCCTTAGCAACAACATCTTGCAATTCTTGTGTGAAAGTGATCAATTGTTTAGCTACAAGGTAGGGAGAGGGGGAAGAAAATTAAACTTACAATTTGAATAATGGGAAAAGAAAAACATTTAAATATATCATGGGTTATTCATGGGCAGAGAGAGAGAAAGAGAGAGAGAGAGAGAGAGAGAGAGAGAGAGAGAGAGAGAGAGAGCACTAGCAAATGAAACATTTTTGGATTACCTTGGACAAGCAAGAATGCATGACTTGAAGTTTCTCCAGCTATGTTGATGGCCTTTACCATGATGCTGGCAGAGTCTTCTGCAGTAACATCCCTTATGACCAGTTCACAAACATTGTCTTCTGGCCAGTACCAGTAGATTCGGTCAGACCGCTCAATTTTTACACCATTTTTATACCATTCACATTCAGGGTCTGGTTTCCCCACAACTCTGACTCTAAAGTGGGCATCAGATCCTTGGCCAACTGTCTGGCTTTGGATTCGTTCAAAGATCTTGGGTGCCTCCATACTAGGGCTAAGTTCAATCCTCTCAGGTTTGAAAGTTGGAATAGTGACTTTGCCTTCTTCGGCGAGGGCTTTCTTCTCCTCTTCAGTTAACTCTTTGGTCCAATGTAGCAGCTCATCTTTTGTTTTCTTGAGGAGTTCTTCATAGGATTCATCCTTCTTTCGAGACTTAAGTTCCACAGCTGTGATAGCCTCATAGTACCCCTCCTCCGTCCTGCGCTTAAATTTACTGCGCAGTTCTTCTGACTCCTCGGACACCTTTTCATGGGTGATTCTTTCAGCCCTTTTCAGCTTCACTACTTCTTTGGCTTCACTGGTGTCAACGGGTCTGTCTACTTTCTGCACTTCAAACTGAAGTTTTCCTGGTTCATGTACGTGAAACTCAGGCTTTGGCTCAGGAGCTCGCCTGAGGACAGATCTGAAATCCTCCCTCTGTTGGATTTCAAGTTTTACTTTATGCTCTGTCACGCCTTCAGGGTTTTCTGCAGTGACCTTGACTTCACCTGTATCGTAGGATTTGCAGTCCACAATATCCAGATAATGAATGCCATCATAGCGAACCCTGAACCTTTTGCTTTTACGGATGAGCTGTCCATTGAGGTACCAGTTGACCTTGGGCTGAGGGTAGCCTGTTACTCGGCAGCGGAATCGGGCTGTCTCTCCTTCAAGCACTCTCACTGGCTCTGGGAACAAGACAATGTCTGGCTTTTGCTTTTCCTTTTGATCTGTTGTTACACCTGTAAGTGCACCTTCATGAGCCATTCTCTCTAGTTCTTCAATTCTCTGTAGGCCTTTCTTCCCCTCAGGTAATTGAGATTCTTCCACTAGACTTTTCTCATCTTTTACGATAAGCGTAGCAGATGTGTGATCTGTCCCATATTTGTTAGTGGCTCTGCATGTGATGACACCACTGTCTCTATTATATGCAACTCCATAATCAAGGCTGCAGTATCCAAATTCATTAATCATACGGAGCCTGTTGGCTGCCTCCAGTGGCTTTCCATCATGGAGCCACTCGACCACCATTGTTGGGTCACCAATTGGTGTGAGTCTGCATTCAAAGTGGGCGGGTCCAAAGCGCTTCAACCTGAGGGAAGAGAGTTTCTTCTTGAAAAACGGTTTCTGTTGCTTCTCCTTGTCGTAGAGGTCCCCCTCTTCCCACTGCTCTTGACCGTATCTCAAATGGAGAGGCTCCAGTTCTGGGGCAGCAATCTCCTTTGCTCTGTATGTCCCTCGTGGGATGATCAGTTTTCTTTCCGGCTCAGGCTCAGCAAACTCAACCTCAACATTGACTTTGCACCTTGTGGTGTCGCGGCCTGCCTTATTAATAGCAGTGGCAGTATACCAGGCAGAATCTTGGCCGAGAGTGGAATCAATCTTAAGGGCGGCTTCTCCTTTGGTTCCTTCAATCCTATTTAAAAATATGAAAACAAAACCATCAATATAGTGGTAGCGCTTTCTGCTTATATGACTATTGGATTTGTATGAGAAGTTTAATTTGATTATCTTTTCAAACATACCTGATCCTTGGGTATTTATGAGGTACAATGATGTCACTATTTTTCAGCCACACAATGTCAGGGTTGGGGTTCCCTGTAGCTCTGACTTTCATTTCAAGCCTGGAACCTTCCTTTATGTTGATATTTTTCAGTTTTTCCACAAATGCTGGTTTTATCTGGTGTTCCACAGCTGAAAGAGTAAGGTCATGATTTAGAGTGGCTGGGGCTGGAATACCTGTATATGACCCAAATGGTGAAATAGTTTTAATTTTAATAAAGTTTTTGTTTCACCTTCCACAGTTAGAGTCACAGATATTGTAGATTTTCCTGCCCTGTTTTGGGCAACCACTGTCCATTCTCCAGAGTCACTGGGTGATGCAGGGACAATAATCAGTGACTGAGTTCCGTCTTCTTTAATGACAACTTTATGTGTATAATCATTGACAATTTGCTGTCCTGTTAAAAATAAGCAAAACTAAAATAGTTTCTTTTTTATTTTTGTATTGTTGGATATACACATATGAGCTTGTTTCTATGTCCACAGACTCATGAGAGTAGCTGTATCAGACTTACCATTGTGAAACCAGAATGTCTCTGGCATGGGTCTACCCACAACCTTTAAGTCAAATCTGGCAGTCTGTCCTTCTAAACACTTGAAAGAAGCAGGTTTTAGCACGAAGACTGGCTTATACAGTCTCTCCAGTTGTGATTCATCTGTTTCCTCCAGCCTGCGTCCAGGGGACATCCGTGCAGGGGACATCCGAGCAGGGGACATCCGAGCTGGGGACATCCGTGCAGGGGACATTGCAGGAGACATACGTATGGGTGACCTGCTCACTGAACGTGGAGAGACAGACCTGGAAAATGAAGGTAACCATTATTTCATGAAGCATACAGAAAGCACAGAAGAAGATCTGTCTGTCTTAATCGTTGATGCTACTTTGGAATTTACTTCTGCATGTTTTAGAATTCACCTGAGACCCACTGAACTCCCAAGAAGAACATATTATTATTGTCCCTAAGGTTGTGTTTTGCTTATATTAATCCCTGGTCATTCAATACATCCAGGTACCCAGACTCAAAATCTTAGGAAGCCCATATTACCATCTTTCTATCTTACCTTTATCTAAATTAGTCATTATATTTTCTTGGTTCAATTACTATATTAATAACTGTTCATTGGTTAAACCAAATGAATAAATATAGAGAAAAAGAAAATATATTTTTATCTAAGAGGAAGAAAAATATAGAAATTAGATTTGCTAACAAAACAATGCAAAACCCTACACTAATTTAGCATTCAGACGGGCTTTCATTTATAATGTGACTACCAGGCTGGATAAACCAAATTTATTTTCACAGCCTCCTGGAATCTTGGTGTTCCCATTACCAAAATAGCAATAACACCCACTCCATTTCAGGGTTGCTATATAAATCCAGGGTATCATTCATTAAGACCTTACGTTAAACAAATAAATGATCACTATTGTTATCTTAGATATTTAGGAAAATAGTTTGCTATACAGATGAAAATTCTTTGTTCATCAAATCACTAGTGGCTGGCTTCTGTACTATTTCAGCCCTCATTTTTCATATGGTAGTAATTTGCTACTGGGATGTTTGGTGTTTTGAAACAATTTAAATACCACTCAATTTCAAATAGAAGTCTTACCTGATTCTGCTAACTGCTTCTGGTGTTGGCATGTAAGTTGGAGCACTGAATGGTGCAGCAGGCTCCACATATAACTTTCCTGAGCAAATTGCATTTCCTTTCACATTGCTGGCAAATGCAGTATAGATGCCCTCATCTTCGGGAAGGACAACGGGAATTCGAAGACTGGCTCTGCCATCCTGTAGAAAGTCCATTTGATATCTTTCCCCATGTCTGATGCGCTTGCCATCTTTATACCATGCAATCTGCAGAGAACATCATATATGTGTGGGTAAATTAGGATTAAACAGTCACAGTATAACCTGTTTGTGTCTTTACCACAATATGTAGAAGCATATTTCCACAAATATTTTTTATTTTACCTTAGGTAATGGATATCCAGACATCTTGCAATGAAAAGTGACACCCATCCCTTCAAGAATTCTATAATTTTTTAATCTTATATCAAATCCTGATTCAATAGCTTCAGATTCAGAAATGTCAACTGCCATCTTTTCTTCGCCATCTTCCTCAAGAAGCTCTTCCAAAGTAGTCTTTATTATTCTGTATTCAATTTCTTTAATGAGCCTCTCTTCAAAGGAAGAAATGTGGAATTCCTATGTAGTAAAAAGATGACAGCTTGTTAAAAAGTTACATCCTCACAGATAGAAGTTCTTTAAGGATACACATTAGTTTAAGTATTAAAGACATATTGACATGTTTAACTGTGAGAACAACCTAGAAGATTTCTATATTTGGTTTAATTTTAATCTACATAGGAGGCGTCTTTGTCAGTGAATGCTGTGGCATGTTATGTAAAACTGTATTCCCAGAGTATGGGTTATTTGTAGGTATTTGTCAAAGAGATAGAGAGCTTGACATTATGGACTCGGTTATGTTAATATTTGTCTGTTCTTGAATGTGCAATCCCTATTTCTAAAGTTATTATTTTTCACATATACATTCCCAACTCTCAAATTTCAAGTGCAATATGCCATGAAGATCAAGGAAATTTGTTAGCAGTGAATTTGACCTATGTATGGCTGAAGATGACTATATCAAAAATGGGGAATTATGGGACAGAAATGTGATTTACAAACTGGTTTAAGTTAGTCATTATTGTTATACTCACTTGGTCTTCTATAAAAGTTCTGACCATCACAGTGTCTTTGGCCATTTTCTTCCTAATTAAGGCCTGTTCCTTTTCATACTCCTTTTCATATTCAGAATATGCAAATCCAGCAGGCGCGATTTCCCCCACTTTGGGTTCTTGAATAAATGTACTCATTTGTGTCTGGTAAAGCATTTCTTGCTGGGACTTCACCAGTGCCTCGTAATCAGCTGAGAGACAAGAACACAGTCAATTTTCAGCACTCTTATCAACAAGCATTCATACCACTATTCAGTCAGGCAAATTATATCTAGGCTAAATTAACCAAAGCCAGGTTTTCCAAGTCTTTCGTATCAAAAACTGCTCCATAAAGGTTTATTAGATTTTATCTCAAAACCAAATGCCCATTAACAAGGAAATCTCTTGTACACAGAATTTGATAGCAGCAGTCAGTCCTTTGGGATTCTCCCAGAGGTCTCTTCCTCATTTGCTCTTGGCTATTAATAATTCATTTGCCTGCTAGAGAACTGGGAAGCTGCAATATGTCTTTCTGCAAACACACAGCCTCTCTCCTTCCTTTCGGCCCATACTGTACAGGAACAACTCAGGACTGTCCTTACCTTCTTCAAGTAAGGAGGCAGACGCTGAAGTTTCCCCAAGCTTATTACGGATGACAATAGTGTATTCTCCAGCATCATCAGCAAACGTCATTGAAATTACCAGTCTGCATTCACCAGTTTGTTTGTTATAACTCACTTTGTATCTTCATGGAAATAATGAATGAAAACATCAGTCATAAGCCATCCTCCTTAGAGTAAAAGCTAAATTTACAAATGCTCTACGATTTGCAAATTTGCAAATGGCTCTACGATACAGAATTCAGTGACAAGAGACCTAGTGTATAAGTTCTACCAAGAAGTGACAATAAATATGTTGAAAACTGCGAAAACACAATGAGGGACCAACAATTTAAAGTTTTTATCTCAAATATTATTCAGGTAAGCACAGTAGCAGGCACTGATATTCTCAAAATCATGGGAGGCTGTAGTCTATAGGTTTTCTTGATCCCACAAGTTCAGACCTGTCTGGGCAACATGGGGAAACTTACCACAACAAAACAAAACAGATAACAGAATTCAATGCCCTATAGGGAAGTCATTGCCTTCAGCACTTATGCTGGCAAGTGATATGGCCATCTAAACAGTAGGTATTTTCTCTTTGTTAGTTATTTCTCTTTGTTAGTTATTTAAAGGCAAATGAATAATCAAAACTATAAAGTCTAAATACCTAATTATGTAGACCCTGGAACATTGTAAATCCAATTCTTAAGAAATAACATCTATGTGCTTACATTGTCCTTTCATTCAATTGCAAACATTTATTAATGCAGGTTTTCATGTATAACTGGATTTTTCCATTATATAACCTCTATTTTTATTGTCTGACAACTGAATTATAGAATGCATTTAGTGAAAGTTCCCTCAACTTATTTCCTGGGATTGGGTGTGTAAGAGTTTTTGTAACACTATCAGCTAACTAAGCTGGAATTGTAAAAGATGTCTTCCATCTCCTCTTCGTACAAAGCCTTATTTCTCAAGAAAATTCTGTATGGAAGGCTGGGAATATAGTTACATGGTAGAGTGCTTGTCTAGACCTTATGTCAATCTCTTGTACCAAACAAAAACAAAAAACAAAAACAAACAAACAAAAAAAACCCCACAAAAACGAACCCTCCAAACTCTGGAAATATAAAAACACCTCAGAATAAATAATAAGGTTTCATTATGAGTAGATCTGCACTCAGGCATTGATGGGGAAGGCAAGCTCTACTTCTCTTTAGGGTATCCAAATATCTGCATATTCCTTAGAATATCCATATAGCTACATATCTGCATATCATCCCATAGAGAATGCTATTATCAGCCATCAGAGTACCTGTATCCAGTGGTGAGAGGAACACCAGATTTTTTCCAGTAGACATGGGGCTTTGGGTTGCCACCGATCTGGCATTCAAACACCACACTCCCACCTTCCACCAGTTTCTGGACCACTGGCTTTGTAATGAAGAAAGGTGCAGCAGGCTCTCCAGGCCCTGCCTGCTCCTCTGTGATGCTGGTGTCAGTCATTACCACGTCTCGTGACTCGACAAAGCTGGGAAGAGAATGCCATTCCTGTTAGCTGCTGGGTAGCAGTGGACCAATAACTATAGGAAAGATGCCAAAATCACACGAAAACGCAGCTAAACTGGTCAAAGAATGGCTTACCGTCTCTCTTCTGTGGCAAATTTCTCAGTCAGAGTTGTTTCCTTGTCAAACTCTTCTGACACTAGAAAGCAAAAAGTGACAATGACATGATCCTCTAGTCTGCCCCATTCACTAGTGTCTGCAGTGAGTGTTGAGTTAGGGGATCCTGTCATCTATTTTGTAATTTCCACACAGGAAGAACTCTGATGTGTACAGAAACTGCTACTCAGGGTGTGTGGCTGCTGAAAGAGGTGACACAGATGGACTGATGGACATTAGGATCAAGAAGGGAAGCCACCAACCTTGCACAGCAAGATAGCAGGAAGTGCTGACGGTGCCAGCCTCGTTCATGGCACTGCAGGTAAACCGTCCACTGTCTTCTGCAAAGGCTTCTCGGATCATGAGACGAGCAATTCCATTCTGGAAGGTTATCTGGAAATCAATGGAACTTTCGATTTGGTAGTCTTCTCTGTACCATGTCACTTTGGGAGACGGGTATCCAGAGATGTGGCACTCCAAGGTGACAGATTCACCTTCTATGACAGTCACATTTTTTAAGCCCTGAAAAGAGAAGGAATGGGAACTACTATTGCGCATACATTCTTTAATCACCCCTTTAAATTAGATCATACATGTGGTTGGAACTTGAACATCTTAACTGACATAAAATGCCCTTGGTAAGGACTCCAGAACAATTAATGCAGACTTGGAAATTAGAATATTCCCAATTTGAAATCAGTGCCAAGCACATCCCAATCTCTGTAGTAGAATTGCATTAGTGCCACACAATCTGGAAGTTTCTGTTGTCCTCACATGTTTAAATTCTAGAGAAGCCTTAAGCCCAGCAGCAAACGCCATCAGTCAACAAAGCTTTTGCCTGGGACCCCTTACTGGAGCTGAGCTGCCACGCTCTGCCCATAGAGTGCTGAGAATCTTCTGTGTTTTATTAACTGTTTGTATACATTCCCTCTGGTGGCAAGTCAAAGCCTCCAAAGGGGCCCTGTTCTTCTTTATATCCTCACAGTTTCTAAGGTAACATTGTACATATATCAGGATCATTAAAAACAATAAGAATGATGGTTGCTGAGTGGAAGTACCCTTTCCTGGCCAAATAGGCTGCCTGGTAAAAGCCAGAGCTTGTGAACCCACTAACTATGGCACTTTCCTGGAAGTATGAGGAACCGGTCTTTGCTAGCATACATTGAAGGAGTTTGAGTCTGGGTAAAGAGGCCAATGTGTCAGCATCTTTACTCACCGAGACTAAGGTAGGTGGAGTAACAGGGACTTCAGCAGGTGCAGGCACGCGCGCAGTTTCTGTTACCTACAGTTTTGAGAAAAGAGGTTACAAAACAGCCAAGGAGTGAAGGGAAATTTCATGAACCATCAGCACGTACCAAGCAATTTAAAAGTGTTTCTGCAAAAACCCTTCTATAGCATGCATGATAAAGCACAGCCTGGGCATGGCAAAGGGGGAGGAGCACTCTCCTGGCCAGTGACCCACCTTGGCTTCGCGCCCATGCAGTACTTGGAAGTGTTCCTCACGAACAGTGCTGCCGCTAATGCTCACTCCAACTTCCTTCTTCACCTCAATGCCAGCCTGACTCTTGTAAGTATCTGGCGCCGGCATGTCAGTGAAGGGGAACTGTGGGGAAGGGGTGGGCTCTGCCCTTACTCTCATCTCTCCAGGCTTCACAGTGGGTGCCTTCACCGATTTGGTGATCTTCTGAGTAGAAGATGTGGCAGACAGCTCTTTTTGTAGTGTGGCGATAGCACTTCCGGCTATCGATGCCTGGATGGAAGAGCAATGAGATGGTGTGACTGAGCTGTCATACAAGTCATTGGGAAAAGCTCAGGACTGGTATTCCCAGTATTGACCTCACTCCATCTGCCCCTGAGTGCTGGCATTACAGGCACATGCACCATGGCTGGCTTTGCTCTGCTTGACCAAAAGACTTTCTATGTGATCAAACACTTTCATTATTTCTCCTACAGTTAATGAAAAGGCAGAGATCAACCAACTTACAAAGCTACTGGTTAATTCTATTTAGCTAGAAAACTTTAAATTGCCCCTTTAAGAAGTTACATGAAGTGTAAATCTCCCATCTGCCTAAATGGCCAGACTAAAACCCTCCTGTTTCTGTTTAAATTGTTCGAAATGTAACCTAGGACCCAGACCTGAAAGAAATCGAAGGATGACACCATATGTGGAATGATAAACCCAGGTTGTACATAAGTTAATAACATCTTCTATCCATGGCCAGCTCCCCTTTGGGCATTAGCCAGAGCCAGACGTACAATATCTATCTCATTCTTTCCCAGAGTGTAAAGTAAATTCTCACGGGTGGGGGTGGGTGGATATTTCTCCAACAGTACCAGTCCTGAAGAGTCAAGGTAGGACTGGAGACTGAGCTTACAGATAGAGTGTAGGTTTATCTCTGACTCCATGAAAAATCCTTTTTATTCTGAGATCAGTAACACGTTCTACTGTATGGTTTTATAGAAGACATCTACAATTCTGTTTTTGGGGGCTTTTGTCGTCTTTATTTTGGCTTGTTTTTATGTGTCATTGGGCAGGCAGGAGCTCCTTTTTTTCTTTTGAATGTTTTGAGATAGCACGTCACTATGTGGCCCAAGTTGGCCTTTGATTGAGTCTCTTGGGACTTCTGCCCAAGTAGCAGGATTACAGGAATGCACTATTGGACATTCTACCTCATTTTGTAAGGGTTTAATAATTTTGACTTAGCTCATTTGCTTAGTATACTTCACTTTCCCCACTGCTAGGTAGTTCTGCCTTTACCAAAAATCAAGATTCCACTCTCAATGATATGCACAAGACCTGCAAAGACCACACCAACTGACACATAGACATGGACAGATGAAATTTTCACAAGGTCCCACCCCAAGATGAATACCATATGCACACATATGAATGTATAAAAGAGCTCATGAACTGGGCGGGGGGGCATGGGAAGATTTGGATCGGAAAGAGGGAGTGGAAAGGATGTAAATACAGTGGAAAAGTATAAAATCCTTAAAATATTTTGAATATGCATGGATTTAAAAAAAAAAGTTGCATGAGGTGCCCTTGGTTTGTGGCTCTTCTAGAGCTCAGCCAGGCATTTTCTTCACTCAATTCAGAGAAATGCTACATTTTAAGCCTGCATTATAACAGGATGTCAGCCACAAGTCTACACAGAAGGCAAAAGCAGACATTCAGAAAAGTGTTTTGATGGGCTCCTTATTGTTTCTATTCTGGAGTGTGTGTGTGTGTGTGGTTATTTGGTTTCAGTAGTAACTTTAGATTATCCCCAAACACAGGCATTATACATTGCTTATGACTCCTTGAGGATAGAGAGGGCAACTTCTTATTACAAAAATTCTAGTAATTAATATTGAGGGTTGTTATATATTTCCCCATGTGGCAGAACTAATAAGAAACAGAAGCAAGACTCTAGTCCAAAGCTCTGTCATTCCATAATCTACTTTAACTGTCATGTGATAATGATGGATGCTGCACTGGGAACCATTATAATGGGGAACTCAAACTAATTTTTTAACTCATCTAATCTAAGAATGTTTTGGTATTGCACATTTGGATGAGAGCCACAAGTCTCTCATGTGACAAGTAAAAACAGACATTCTTCACTTTGCTATATGGAACATGTGAATATTGGCTTGTCATTGTCTATTCTTACTAAAAAACATACAGTTAAGTTACTCAAAGTATCTCACAGCTTATAAGACATTATACTATATAAACTGCTATCATTTACAAAATGATTAGAAATGTATTAATTAAGACAGGTGGTAGTGGCGCATGCCTTTAATCCCAGCACTTGGGAGGCAGAGGGAAGCAGATCTGAATTCAAGGCCAGCCTGGTCTACAGAGTGAGTTCCAGGACAACCAGGGCTACACAAAGAACCCCTGTTTAAAAAAAAAAAACAACAAAACAAAAACAAAAAGGAAAGAAAGAAATATACTAGTTGAAGCAACTGAGTTTGAACCATCTTTGAAACAAGAGACAGAGAAGCCTGTGTGGTTTTTGTCTCATTGGGGTTGAAAGACAATGACTTTTTATCGACTTTTCCCTAGGAGACCCTTTTTAGAAGACAAGGCTCAAGCATCTGAGTCCACCATGAACATTGGTATCTCATCAAAAAGGGACCCAACTGGCTACACACAAATGCCCTACATCATGAGCAAGGAACTATTGTTTTTTAGTTAACCATTTCTCTATTATGCTGCACATCTTACCTCATATCCATGTTCTGTCTTAGGTACAGTAATTTTTGAAACAGTAAAGTGAGGGCTTGCTGTGCGGGGGCGTTTATCCACATGGACCAATCTTTCACTTGATATATCTGTAGTTTTCTTGACCTGTATTAAATGAAACTCAGTGACATCACTGCTCATCAGCTGTTCACGGCATGTGTTGCTACTCTTCCACACACAGTGAAATACAGTAGCAGACTCACCTGTGATGATATGTGCATTCCCATTTGGTCAGTAGTTTTGATATGAGTCTCAGAAGGAGCCTGAATCACGACAGGCTTGACTGCTTTAGGGACAACGTGGGGTTCTGAGGCTGGGCGCTGGGGCTGCTCAGGCACCTTTGGGGTGGAAATGTGTTCCTTGTAGCCGTACTCCAATGTGGTCTGCTGGGTGTATGACTCCTCTACACGTGCAGGCTCTCTGGGTTCTCGAACCCGGGCCTGGTCAACAGCAGCTACAACGGTGGCCACAGCTTCTGCCTTTTTCCCAGCACCCACCTGGAGACAAGGATTCCCAAGTTAATAGACAATAATGTCAAAGTCACACTTGGACATCTCCTTCTAGGGACATCCTCCTGGGATCACTCCCCTAGTTACTCAGAAAAGACAAAGGTGAAAGGTGTGATAAGTATATTTGTGTTATAAGGAAAGGTTAATTGCTCAGAAATGTAAATCAGCTTTTTCAAGAATTTATATTTCATTAAATATTATATTGCAAAGAGTCCTATCTGCTACACTAAACCTATCTGCTATATGCCAGGCAGTAGATCACACAGACACAAGACAGGACAACACAATATGTATGTAAAATCCTAAGGACATTTTGAGTATTTCAAACAACTTACCTAGGCTAGACAGACAGACAATTAGCAACTGTGAAATAAGAACTTTGGAGCAGTTTGTCTTCATTGATTATTTTTATTATTTTGTCAATCATTCAGTCTGGTGTTGACACAGCAACAGCAAAGATAAAAGCATACTCAAATACTGTCATCATCACAACAGAAAAATCAATTGTTGTAGAGTGACATGGCTGCATGCAAATGTGAGATAAAATGAAAACTCCCGGTCAGAGAATGAACACCCGAATTTACTCAGGACTCACTGGGGATAAGCTTTATTCAATCGATTAGAAAAATAGCTCTCTTAAAGCACACTAAGGAAAACATTGTGATTAAAATGAAAGCGTTATCATGTTTGGATTCAAGAGAACAACCTTTCACACTGAAGTTCAATTTGCTTTCATCTTTGCTGGGAGTTAAAGCAAAGAGAGAGACAAATATTATCTCCTCCTTTCTATGAATCTGATTAACACGAACAAGAACACAATTTGCGAAGGTGTTCTCATAAAGCAAGTGAAGCAGCCAACAAAGAGGCATGCATATTTTAGTTCTGTGCAGTACCGGAAACAGTCATAATGGTAACATGGCTGTAACCACCCAGTGCACTTTAGAAGTGAGGCTGACCCTTCTATTAATCTCCAGTCTTTGCTTATGCTATGACTATGGTTAAATGTGCATCTGAAATGTGCGTCAAGTATAGAACCTAGATACCTTTAAAAGTAGCCTCTGGATCATATTTAAGGCATAAATGAGGCCTATTAAAAGACGGGACTGAGCCTTTTATGATCATGGGCTTTAGTGAGAATTTCTTCCCCAGAAGAATAAAACTGTCATCTGCTTTGAAAGGCTGCAAAGACCATCTTCCCTTCAGATTGCATTTCAGAAGGAGTCACAATACATGTATGAAGCTCAACTCAGTTAATTGTTTTCATTATTAGTTTCTTTTATAAACACATGGGCAACTAGTTGACTCTATAGATGTTTCTGCATGTTCATCTTCAACAGAGAGCACTAATACAAACATCATTCTCTCGGGAGAAATCAAATTTTCAGTCTATCTCACTGGCACCTTTCAAGCAGCCTGTGATAGGAGGCAATGTGAGGAAATCTTAGTTTTATTCTAGTGATAAGAAAACTGACCAAAAATCACACAACTGAGATAACAAATATTGCCTCTAATTTTAAAAGTGTGCTCCAAAGCCTTGTTTATGATAGTACATTTCAAATTGTGGAAGAATGTATCTTTTTCTTGGATTAATATATAATCTATAGATATAGATGCTGTTTGGTGGACAATTGCAAACGAATACTGAATGCTGTTAGCTGTTCTTATTCTTTAGTAGACTTAAATATCCTTTTTGTTCTTGGCACCCAGATAAGCATGAACACAAATTGGATTAGGAGACCCCAATTTACACCAGTTAAAAGCTGAGAATTAATTTAAGAAAAGTGTTATGTAATGTGGTCTTTTATAACAAGAAATGCTAACTGTGCCTCTGGAGGACTCAGACCAAATCTAATCATCTCTCATGTTTGTTGACAAGTAAAGCAATTAAGTGGACCACTGGGAGCACACAGGCTCAGGATAGCTGAGAAGTTATACAAGCTGATGATGGGGTGAAACAACATGGTTCACCTCCATGAAACTAGCTTTTATCTCTTCTTGCAAATCCCCTCTTAGCCTCTATTCTTGGTCTCCATTCAACAACAAAACTAAGACAGACACATTTATGTGAATGGAGACAGAAATGAAAATTAACTATAATTCTTGAAATATGGCTTATGGTAAAATTCTTGTAGCCTATGAGACTTTTAGAAGGCAGGCATGCCATTAAATATTAAACTCGGATAAAAGTTTGAATGTTATCTTAAATCTTGTCTTGGGAAAATTAATTGACAATCTTGTGCTAGAAATGAGCACTGAGGGAAACATACACAGAACACAGACAATGTCAACAAAACTGAAAACTTTAGTGGCCAGTTCCCAATGGAGAATAAACTTGAGTAAAAAAGCTCATTTAGAGAGAATTATAGTTATGGGAGGTAGTTTAATTAATGGAATTTGTATAGCTGCAAATAGATGAGGTAACTTTTTCACAGCGTGTATGTTAGGGTATATCTTTCTCCAGATTTCTCAATATCACATCTTGCACAGCTTCAGTGGAAGCTGCTAAAACAGGCTCTATAGCTTTCTGTTTCTTTCCTCTGATATTTACAAGAGAAAAAGTTCAAGTTTCACATGAAGAAAATAATAGGTAATTGAAATAAATCATTACATTGTAGTATAATGCACTAAATTCAAGGCTCCTCAACACACACACACACACACACACACACACACACACACACACAC